TACCAAGTCATTTTTGGAGTGATGCAGTCGCTACTGCTGTACATTTACTCAATAGGATGCCATCAAAAGTCTTAAAATTCAAGACTTCCTTACAAATCTTATCTACTCATGTCTCTCTCCCCACAGTTCTTATGCTCCCTCCTCAAATCTTTGGCTGTGTTGCATTCGTCCACCTTTATAAAAACCAGCGAACAAAGCTAGATCCATGTGCGGTTTAATGCTTATTTCTAGGCTATGGATTGCATCAAAAGGGGTATAGGTGCTTTGATCCTACTACCAATCGCACCTATATCACCATGGATGTGACGTTTATTGAATCTGAGCCCTTCTTTCAACAGCCTGTGCCCAATTTACCTCTTCAGAAGGAGAATACAAATGAAGAGCCAAATTGGTTAATGGCTCTAGAAGTTGGAGGAGTTGAATTAAGAGGCTCTCTACAAGGTAACCCTATAGTGAAAGGCAATCTAGAACACAGCCCTCTAAGGGAAACAACAACAAGGACAGAGATAGGAAATAGGGAGAATGAAACTAACGACCAACAGTCTACACATGAAGAACCAGAACTAACTACATCCCCTCTCACTTCAGTACCTGAAGAATTATCTCTTATTGAGAATATTCCCGACGTAAGATCCCCTAACACCTATTTAGATGCAGACACTTTAGATATTACTGCTGGATATGTTTTGCCTTTCAGATATAACCGAGGAAAACCTCCAAATAGATATTCTTCTAATGAAGAAGAAAGGAGATCAAAGTATCCAATTGCAAATTACGTCTCTACTCAAAGGTTTCCGAAAGCTATCAAGAATTTTGCAAGGACTCTATCTGCCTGCCATATCTCAAGTAACATTGAGGAAGCTCTAGCAGACCCAAAGTGGACACAAGCAATTCAAGAAGAGTTGGATGCGTTACAAAAAAACAACACTTGGAAGTTGGTCCCATTGCCCAAAGAAAGGAAACTAGTGGGGTGAAAATGGGTTTTTTTTTTTTTCCATAAAATACACAGCTAATGGATCAATCAATCGGTATAAAGCAAAGCTTTTGGCAAAAGGATTCACGCAGAAATATGGTGTAGATTACGTGGAAACCTTTTGACTGGTGGTCAAACTAAATACTGTTAAAGTATTATTATCTCTTGCAGCCAATTTAGATTGGCCATTACATCAACTTGATGTAAAGAATGCCTTTTTGCATGGTGATCTTGAAGAAGAAATTTACATGGAAATCCCACCAGGTTATACAGTATCTTTCCAAACTAAGTTTGTATGTAAGCTGGAACGAGCATTGTACGGGTTGAAGCAATCACCACGAGCATGGTTTGGATGATTTAGTCTTGCTATGAAGAAATATGGCTATCACCAAAGCAATTCAGACCATACATTCTCCCTAAAACATAAGGAAGGAAAAGTAACTGCTTTTATAATATATGTTGATGACATGATTATCACGGGGGATGATGTATAGGAAATTTCAAGGCTAAAAAAACAATTGTCGGCTGAATTTGAAATGAAGGATCTTGGTGGACTCAAATATTTTTTAGGAATCAAAGTGGCAAGGTCACAAAGAGAAATATTCCTTTCCCAAAGGAAATACTTGCTAAATCTATTGACAGAGGTGGGATTATTGGACTGTAAACCAGCAAGCACACCTGTTGTTCAAAATCATGGACTTGGAATGTACACTGATCAAGTGCTAGCTGACAAAGGAAGATACCAAAGACTAGTGGGTAAACTTATTTACCTGTCTCATACTCGCCCTGACATTGCATATGTTGTGAATGTTGTAAGCCAATTCATGCACTGTCCTAGTGAAGATCATATGAGTGCAATGATGCGTATTCTTCCCTATCTAAAAGGTTCACCAGGGAAAGGGTTGATGTTCACCAAGAATGGTCATTTAGATGTCACAGGATACACAGATGAAAATTGGGCAGGGAATATCACAGACAGAAAATTCACTTCAGGCTACTTCACCTTTGTGGGAGGAAACTTAGTCACATGGAGAAGCAAGAAGCAAAAGGTGGTAGCACTATCCAGTGCTGAAGCCAAATTTAGAGGTATATCTAAAGGATTGTGTGAGCTTTTATGACTTCGAAAGTTACTAAAAGAAGTTGGATTCGGTCCTACCTCTGAAATGAATCTATTCTGTGACAATAAAGCTGCTATCAGTATGTCTCACAATCCTGTCCATCATGATTGTACAAAGCACGTGGAAGTAGATAGACACTTCATAAAATAGAACCTTGAGGAGAAGATCATCCAATTCCCTTTTGTCAAATCAGAAGACCAGCTCGCAGATATTCTCACAAAAGCTGTTTCTAGTAGGGATTTCCATAACTCACTTGACAAGTTGGGTGTTAGAGATATCTACACACCAACTTGAGGTAGAGTGTTGGTATGGGTCAACAAATATATCAAATCTTGTGTGTAATTAAGATTATAGCTGTTGAGATTCCTATGATTAAGGGATGACAGTAGTTTAGCATCAAATATTTTGTTTCCTTTATACCTCCCTAAAATTACTCCTTTGTAACTGTATTTATTTGAATACCTTATGAATGAAAAAGGGCAACGAATTATGTTCTGGTACCTTTTAGTACTAAACTAGGAAATATTAAATATTTTAATCTCTTAAAATTTGAAAATTGTTCTATAATTTCTACGTCTCGACTCTTTTAGTTTTTTACATCTAAATATCATTAATAAATAATAACAAAATATTAATAGATCACATTAATGACATATATAATTCATTACATAATTAAAAAAAAGTTATTTATAGTACGATATATATTTTTATCTATTAATCTTTCTTTTTCTCATTCATTTTCACTGAAAATTATTATAATTGACCACCATTTATGTTTTTCATTGATGACAAGTACTAAAAATTATTCAACAAAATTCACATTCATTAATTCCATCTCAATAAATACTTTTAATGCCTAATAAAAGTGTTCATTTCAAACCTACTTTGACATCAAAGCAAACCAACAACATCCTTATTCATAACTTGTTCAAATAATAACCTTGAGTCTGCCATGTTATTAGTCTTTGCATACTCATTAATTATGGTGATGAACAAAACAATATTTTTTGTTAGGCATAGTGTCAAACATGCTTCTAACAATACTTAAATCCCACACTTTCACAAACCCTACTTGCGAGTACAAGATGGAAGACAAAGTTTGAATATAAGAGAGGAAATGGAGTGATGATAGTTTCGGGAGTGAGAGAATGAAGAAAAAGAAGAAGAATGAGTAGATGAGATGTTTTGTGAATTAGAAACTAAAATGTCTAACGTGTGACAATCTTAAGGACTAAAATAAAATGAAAATATATATTATACCATATACAATGTTTTTTTTATTATATAATCAATCATATATATTACTTTGTCAGCATTTTATTATTGTTTATTGACGATGTCTAAGTTTAAAGTTTAAAACGGTCAACGAAGATAGAAGTTAGAGATTAATATGATATTTTAAAAATTTTAAGGATTAAAATACATAACACTTACTATCTCATGAAACAAATGAAGGACTAAAATGGCATTTAATCTTTTATGCATTTGCCTAATTTTATTGAATCAAACTTCATTTTGGTGCTCATAATGTGAAATCTCTAGTCCTAATTTGTTCTCAATAGTAAGTTGGAAGTAATTATTACTTTTTTAAGAACAAAATATAATTAAATTATATATTAATGACATAATTGTAAACTTTAGTTATCATTTATGTATCAATTTTATTGATTTAAATTTTAAAGAATTAAATTTTAAAATATAAAATGAATTTTGATCACTAATAAAAAATAATATATTAATGAAAACTTCATAAAATTAAAAATTTAGAATACTAAAAAATTTGGGTGATAATTAATTACATGAGTTTCAAAAACAAAAAATAATAATTTTAACTTTTTATTGTAACCTTTATTGCATGAATTAATAGTTCTATTATAAAACACCATTCGTTCAAGTTTTTTTTTTGGATAAATTTAATGGATAAAAGCGTTAAACTATCAAAATAATATAAATTAAAAAAATTATTGTAACGAAAAAGGACAAAAAAAGTAAATAGAGGAAAATTTAAAAATGAAAATAAGAAATTAACTATCATAAAAAATATGATATTTTTAAGAAGGAAGATAAAAAGTAACATATTAAGAAAAATGAAAAGCTTAAGTAAAAAAATAAAATAAAACTTTAAGATAAAATTAATAAATTGAAAAATATGCATTTGAGAGGAAGATAAAATGAATAAAATATTAGATGATTAAATAAGAAAAAAGCAATTAAAGAGATGAAGAAACAAATTTGGTAGAAACTTGCCTTAAAATATTATATATTTGAAAGTTCAAAAGTTGAAAGGATGTAATTTTAAGAAACAATTATATTGACAGAAATTCTTATAAAAATAGAAGATAAAGAAGACAAAATGTTAACTAAACTTAAAAATAAAATTAAAATTGCTAGATAATTTTTATGTATCTGGTATTATTCTTGATATTAACACTAATAAATTATTGAAAATGGGTAAGCATAATTATCTTGAAGGGAAAATTGTCTTGCAAATAATTGTAAAAAAAGGTGATTATATACTTGAAAGTATTTTTTATTTATTTTATATTAATTTTTTCTTATCGTATAAAATAATTATTTAATAAAAAATATATGTATTTATTATTTTTAAACTATAAAATATATTTAATATTTTTTAAAAATAACTAAAATTTTTAAAAAATAAAAAATATTTATAATTCATTTAAATATTGCATCTATTATGTCATCTATTATGTATATTAATCGATAGATTGCATTGAAATTAAACACTGGAAGATAAATATATAAAATTGTGTTGTGTGCAAAAAATTGAGAGTAAAAAACAGAACGACGTGCGAATGGAAAAATCCAAATATTATTCGTTGCTCTCTCAGTGTGCTTGGTTATTGCCGATAACATTGTTACTTCAATTTGTTTGTTCCACAGAGTAATTTCCTCGTGGCACGGCACTCTATGGGGAAGTTCAAGTAGAGCCCTCTGAATTATTTTTTTTCAAAAGTAAAAATGCACCTCCTCAACAGCTATGTCTCTTTCATGCTCAATCTCAAAATGCCAAGTTCCAAACCTTCTTCTTGGGGCCCCATTTCATAAATTATGATCACACACATGTTTCAACTTCTGGGTATCTCTTCTTCTGAAAGGTCACTTCACATTATTTGTACCCTATAGTACATAGGTTTTGTGAATTGTGTATTTTTAATTTTAGTTTCCTTAAGTTTTTTGCCACACAGAGATTGCGTATATTTATAAGACCAAAGGGATTCAGAATTTTTTTTGTGGGTGAGATAGTTTTGGTTGTTGACTAGTTAAAGTCGGTTCGTTTATAAGTATATTGGTAAGTGAACTTGCTTTTTGAGACTTGGGAAGGTTACCAGATTTGTCAAGAGCAATTGGTAACTAATTCACCTTAGTGGGTCTTTTTTTATGCCTTTATTTTTTGGAACAATTGATTTTACCAATTGGGTAAGAGAAGAATGAGGGGTGGGAGGAGTATGATGAAGCTTCAGTTTAGCAAGATCTACTCCTTTGCCTGTGGCAAACCAACCTTCAAGAGGGATCACTCCCAGATTGGGGGACAGCGTCATTCCAGGGTGGTTTTCTGCAATGAACCTGATAGATTTGAGGCTTTGAATTATGCTGATAATTCTGTTAGGTCCACAAAATACACTGTTGCCACTTTCTTGCCCAAGTCACTATTTGAGCAGTTCAGGAGGGTTGCTAATTTCTATTTCTTAGTGGCTGGCATCTTAGCCTTCACAAAGCTTGCTCCTTATACAGCTGTCAGTGCTATCCTTCCTCTGTCAATCATCATTGGAGCAACTATGGTGAAAGAGGGTATTGAAGATTGGCGTAGGAAAAAGCAGGTACTATGTTCTGCAAACTGCTTTAGTCTATCATGAATTTCATTTTACAAAGTCGATTTCTTTAACCCTTTTGTCTTCAACCCTGCAGCAATAGTGTGTAGATTCAAACTGAATGAGAGTGGTCTTTATAGTCTTCTATTGTGTTTATGTTTACATTTTTTTTGCAATTCATGGTGTCTGTTGAATCTATGGAACATACAGTATCCCATTGCTCATAGATTGGCAGTAATTTTTACAAAGCTTATTCAAGTGTTTTTATAAAGGATTCTATTTGACTGTAGCTTTATTAAAATTGTGAACAGAAATGGAATACCAGTTTTCATTACCCATGATGGACAGCTTATGGAAGATTATAGATTGTGTTTAGGTCATTAGTATGAACTTTTTTGGAAAAAGGATAAAGTGCATTACTAAGCTGTTTGTTCCCCATTCCTGTATTTGCTGAACTAATCTCTCAGAGTCAGACTCCTAGATATATCAATGTGTTGCTGAACTTGAGGAGTCTTCGTATCTTGCTATGATTACAGTATGGTTAGAGATGTAAAATTCCAAAATGGTGTTTTTTATTCTTAATTCTACTACAATATTTTCTATGTTTTGAGTTTAGTGCACATTATAGATTTTTATGGCAAGCTATCCATTCAGGGTATATAATTTAGCTAACGGAATAGTTCTGCAGGATATTGAGGTGAACAATAGAAGAGTTATGTTGCATAAAGGTGATGGCAATTTTGAATATACTAAATGGAAGAATTTGAGAGTGGGGAGTATAGTGAAGATAATGAAGGATGAATTCTTCCCTGCTGACCTCCTACTGCTTTCGTCCAGTTATGAGGATGCAGTTTGTTATGTTGAGACCATGAACTTGGATGGTGAGACAAATTTGAAGTTAAAACAAGGGTTAGATGTAACTTCTTCTTTACACGAGGACATCCAATTTTGTGATTTTAGAGCTGTCATCAAATGTGAAGACCCAAATGCAAATTTATACTCATTTGTTGGAAGCATGGAGTTTGGAGAGCAAAAATATCCCCTTTCTGCGCAGCAACTTCTTCTGAGAGACTCTAAACTTCGTAATACCGACTACATATATGGAGCAGTCATATTTACTGGTCATGACACAAAGGTCATTCAAAACTCCACTGATCCTCCTTCTAAAAGAAGCAAAATTGAAAAGAAGATGGATAAGATTATCTACTTCTTGTTTTGTGTTTTATTTCTAATTGCATTTGTTGGATCTATCCTCTTTGGCATTGCAACCAAGAGTGACCTGGACAATGGGTCGATGAAAAGATGGTATCTAAGACCAGATAATTCCACAATTTTCTTCGATCCAGAAAGAGCAACTGTGGCTGCTATATGTCATTCTTTAACAGCTTTAATGTTATACAACTTCTTCATTCCTATTTCCTTGTATTTCTCAATAGAAATGGTCAAAGTTCTTCAGAGCATCTTCATCAATCAAGATATCCATATGTACTATGAAGAAGCAAACAAACCAGCTCGTGCTCGTACTTCAAACTTGAATGAGGAACTTGGCCAAGTTGACACAATACTTTCTGATAAAACTGGAACTCTGACATGCAACTCAATGGAGTTCATTAAATGTTCTGTTGCTGGGGTAGCTTATGGCTGTGGTGTGACGGAGGTTGAGCAAGCCATCAGTAGAATTAATGGTTCACCTATGATTCATGAGCATGTTGATAATAGATTAGAATCAAAAACATATGTCAAAGGTTTTAACTTTACAGATGCAAGGATAATGAATGGTAACTGGGTTAATGAGCTGCATGCAGATGTTATCCAGAAATTTTTTCGCTTATTGGCAATCTGTCATACTGCCATACCAGAAATGGATGCAGACACAGGAAATGTCTCATATGAGGCTGAGTCTCCGGATGAAGCAGCATTTGTGATTGCTGCAAGAGAAGTTGGTTTTAAATTCTACAAACGGACTCAGACTTGTTTATCAATGTATGAGTTGGATCCACTTTCCGGCAATGAAGTTGAAAGGTCAGTTATTTCCAATTGCTTTGTCTGTTTATTAACTTGAGATTTTGACTGCTGCATTTTTCATTTCTAATCAACTTGAAAAAATTTAGGATTAATTTTCATTGAGAAAGGCACGTGCAATTACTTAGTAACTTGTCTAACTAGGCTTGTGATGCCAATAGTTAAATTTCAATACAAAAATTTGGAAGTAGAAACTCCTACATTCCATTTCTGGGTCTAATCAATAGCTACACAGAAATATGGAGTTCAATATTGATACTTTTCAACTCCTGGATTGGCCAACCTACTATTCTAAAAGTACTTATAGCATAGTTGATTTTGGCCCAATTTGATAAACTTTTTATTAAGTACTTTTATGAATAAAAAATTAAGTAGTAAAATGAATCGAATTCTTCACATAAGTTTAAATAAGCTTATGCTTCTTTATTTTTTTAGAAGCTCTCACACTTAACTTCTCTAAAATGTAAGTAGTATAAGTTGCTTTTCACTTCGAGAGAAAATTTATTCATTTTTCATATTAATTTTCTTTTCCTATGAGGACTTATCTAGAAGCTTACCAAAACTAAGTCTTTGTAACCTTGGCTTACATATGTGGATCTTGAAGTCCTAGTTTTATGGATGGGACCTGGAATCTATTTGATGCTTTGATATTGATTAAAGTATATAAATAGTGGAAAAAATTAGTTGAACTGTGGTGAAGGCAATCTTTTTATCCTTTTTGCATATTTATTTATTATTTGGCTATGACATTTGGGATTAAGGATTTTATTGTTAAGTCAAGTGAGTTCAACATGGGTGAGTGAAGAAGCTATGAAACATAAACTCCTCCGACTCTAGATGTTGGAGTTTTGGATATGTTTTTGACACTTGACACCTTCTACAACACGTGTCACTCTGCTCTGGATGTCCATTTTTGTGTTTTGCTTGAGTCGACACCTTTGTATGACTTAGACACTTGAGTCAACAACTCCTTATAGATATGGACACTTTAAGGACACTGGTATTATAATTTTTTTTTTCTGTAGTGTTTAGAATGATCAGCTTAAAATATAATCTAAAAAATAATGCCTCTTGGACTCAATATTTTTTTGAGGCATGCCAAGTATTTTGATGATCTTAATATTTCATTTTATACTCAATCAGTAATGTGACACATTATGTATAATCAAATTAACTACTAAATGCATGTTTGGATGGGATTATTTCCGCAAAATAATTGCTTAATTTTTAAAAGCACTCTCACAAAGCTGCCTATATAAGGCAATAAACTTATCCAAACATGCACCAAGTGTTTTAAGTGTGTTTGGTTAAACTTATTTTAGAAAAATAATTGTTGATTTTGCCAAATTTTTTAGAGTTTAAAAAAATAAGCGATTATTTCTCTAGAAGCAATCCTAATAAAACACAAACTATCTTTATTAGCTGAAAATGCATGGGATTTTTTTTATTTGGAACAATAACCAGATCTTTATCTTCCTATTAAAATTTCTTAAATTATTCTCTACCCTTAAATTAACAAATACTTGGTTAATTAAATGTGCAAGGTTTAACTTCGGAATAACTTATTTCTTAAGGGCAAAATGAGAATTAATAACAACAATAACAACACCCAAACTTTATTCCAGTAGGTGATGTTGACTACATAGATCACATGATGGCTTTGAGCTTTGTCAAATAAAGGCAAAATGAGATGATGCTAAGATAAAATAATATGTAGCATGAGTCTAACAAGGTAATGCTCATGAGTCCATGTTCCATTCAAGGGGTCACATTCTACAAATCCTTCATAATAGGCTATGATACCAAGCCATAAAATACACATTGCTATTTACATATTGCTATTACAGGGGACAAATATAACAACAATAACTAAGACTTACCCACTAGTGGTCAAATATAACACTAAAGAAAATATAGTCCCCATATCTATACAAAACTCTGCCATCCTATTATTCTTCCACATAGTAAATTGGATATAACATGGTCCTTGCATTCAAAACTTCTAGCTGATTCATCCATCTTTTGCTTCCGTTTGCCTAAGTTCATCCAATAAATAATCTGCCGGTGTAATAGTCAACTTTCTAACCTACCCAGTTACTCTGTCTACAATTAGAAATATATTTCTAATATCCATAGCATCTTTATAAAAGGTTTTTAATTGCTTCAACAGTTACCAAAAATTTAAGTTTTTATAAGCCATAGAAGTAAAAAATGTGACAACTTACACTTAGTGATTACTTAAAAGCACATTTATTGCTAATTCAATTATTGTTTATATCTATTTGTAAGTTTTTGAATTTTGCATTCTTCATGTGAAGTAAGTTTGAACGGATCAGATATGCAGTAACTAATTTCATTTTGCAGGACGTACATGATTCTCAATGTTTTAGAATTCAATAGCTCAAGGAAGCGAATGTCAGTGATAGTGAAAGATGAGGAAGGGAGAATTTTGCTACTCTGTAAGGGTGCTGACAGGTCAGTGACTAAATAACATGTAGCCATCAATATTTTGGCGATATTACCTTTGCATTTAGCATATTGACTTGCCTTAAGTCATATTTTCATTGCAGTGTCATGTTTGAAAGGCTTGCCAAGAATGGGAGGGAGTTTGAAGAGAAAACTTTGGAACATGTGCGTGAATATGCTGATGCAGGTCTAAGGACCCTCATACTGGCGTATTGTGAACTTGATGAAGAAGAATATGAGGTGTTTGATAAAAAATTTTATGAAGTGAAAAATTCAGTTACTGCAGACCGGGAAACACTAATTGAGGAAATATCTGATAAGATTGAGAGGAATCTAATCCTTTTGGGTGCCACTGCTGTTGAGGACAAGCTCCAAAATGGGGTAGTTTAGAAAAAAAAATGTTCACATATGAAGATATATCCGTTGGAATAGGACTCAAAATTATGCCTAACAATATTGTTTTGCTAGGTTTCTGATTGTATTGACAAGCTTTCCCAAGCAAAAATTAAGATTTGGGTCTTGACCGGGGATAAAATGGAGACTGCCATCAATATTGGGTATGATATTGTGAATGTGTCTTTGTTAAATTGGCTTCAGCTATGAGAAGTACTTGTCATGGTATTTGACATGAATATACAAATGCAGTTTCTCTTGTAGCTTGCTTAGACAAGGAATGAAACAGATTATAATTCATTTGGATATTCCAGAAATTCAATCGCTGGAGAAGGTTGGAGACAAGATGGCTATTGCCAAGGTAAATAAATTTCAGCTGTTATCTAGTTTTACTTTACAGTTGTTTATAAGGCCTTGGACAATGACCCTGTTAGGTTTCAGTTGCCAAGGTATGAGATTTGAGTCTCATGTTGGAATTATGGGATTCTAATGTGGAGTTTTATAAGGCCTTAGACTCTTCAATTATAGTGGCTAGCTTTTGTTGTGTGTTCTCCCAGGGTTCTTATCAGATCCTATGGGCTTTCTTTTGAATCTTTTCAGTGTTGAGCATCTCTGAAGCCATATATTATGGACTTTAATAAGTTCTGAGAACCTCTCAGCCTTTTCATCATGGATCTAATTACTAAGATAAAATTGGTCCTTCCCATTTGGTCAGAAAGCTGACATGTTTATTGTAACCTGATCTTGCCCTTGCTCCCATCATTTCAGAAACTGTGTTTCTGTTCTGGAGTTGTGGGATGGTAACCATTTCCAGCTCCATCCCAGCCCCTGTAGAAGGATCACAGTCCAGTGATGGAATCTTGGTTGGTGTAGAGACCAGAGCTTAGTCACTGCACAGCTGATGGCTCATCCATTTTTGTGGCAGTGTTCGAATCTGGTGGTATGGCCAGCAGTGTGCTTGAAACCCTTTCTTGCTGTTTCATCTTCCATCCATGTCTATTCCACCATCCTGCTAGCCACAGGGAGACTTTTTCCTTTACTTTCTCCTTCCCTATGTATTTTTTTATTTTGGGTGAATCATCTCCCAAATTGTTACCTGGAAGATAGTGTCACAACCCAAAATCTGCACTTAGCTTTTCTTCTGTTCCTTCTCTGCCATAGGTAAATCGTGCTGTTTCTCTAATCTTCTTTCATGTTCGTTTCTTGCATTCTCTCGCCTTTTTGCTTCAATACATTATCTTTCCTTCTGTTTTCTGGTTCCAAAGATTCCAGTTCCTCATCTTAGATTCAATGGCATCTGAGCCATACTCAGGTTGAAACTGCTGCTACACTACCCTTCAAAATTACTACCTTCTTACAACTGTTACCAATGGTAGGCACATGCTTCCAGTGTTACCATTGCTAGCTGCAACTTTCTGCATTTGCTTTGATCAAAGTGCTGCTCAATGTGAATGGTGGATGAGATGACTGCTTTGCATTCTAGTGATACTTGGAATTTTGTTCTCATACATCTTTACAAGTCCACTATTGGCTGCTGTTGGGTTTATACAGTGAAGATTGGCCCTAATGGTAGTATTGTTTGCTTTAAAACTTGCTTAATGGCTAAATGATACACAGAGATCTACAGTCTAGATTATGGAGCACTTTATCTTATGGCCAAAATCACTTCGGTCTATCTCTTTCTTGCTATGAGAGTTTATTAATCATTGGCTCCTTTATCAACTGAATATTAAGAATGTGTTCTTGAATGATGATTTACAGGAAGAGGTTTAAATGGTATAGCCTCCAAGTTTTGGTGTTTCTGGTGACTCTCACCTTGTTTGTCATCTTCAATGTTCTTTCTATGGTTTGAAGCAATTCCCTCGTGCCTAGGCGGTTTGGACTTTTTAGCTGTCTTAATACAGTTTGGCATGACTAGGTGTGAAGTTGATTATTCTATATTTGGCCGATGCATTTATCTTGTTGTCTATGTTGATAATCGTCACTACTGATGATGACTCAAACACATCTAATGGCTCAAAGACCATTTATTCAGTTAGTTTCAGATAGAAGATTTGAGTCCTCGCAGATACATAGGCATTGAAGTTGCCTAATCCTCTTTAGGTATTGGCATATTCTAATGAAAGTATGCTCTTCACCTTCTCATTTAGACTGGTATGTTTGATTGTTGTTCATGTGGTATTCCAATGGACGCCAATGTTAGGTTTTTATCGGGCTAGGGAGAACCATTAAAAGATTCAAGAAGATATTGATGTCTTGTGGGTAGACTCGATTATCTCACTATTACTAGATATCACATCACTTTTGCTGTTAGTGTAGTTAGTTTCTGAATGCCCTATGTGATAGCCATTTAGGCTCTGTAATTTGTATTCTTTGATACATAAAAATGCACCAGAATGAGGGCTATTATATGAACATAAAGGTAATGCCAAAATCACTTGTTATTTAATGTTGATTGGGCTAGATCACCATAAGATAAAAGATTTACTTCTGGATATTGTGTTCTAATTGGAAGAAATTTGATTTCAAGGAGTAAAAGACAGTTGCTCAGTCTAGTGTTGAAGATGAATATTGTGCTATGAAAGCACCTGCATGTGAACTTGCATGACTTAGACAACTACTCTAACAGTTAAAATTAGGAGATATTCAGTAGACAGCTTATTTGTGATAATTAAGCTGCAGTTTACATTGCCTCAAATCTAATCTTCCATGAATGAACTAAATACATAGAAATATTTTGTCATTTTATAAGAAAAGGTGCTTTCAGGAGAAATTGCAACTGATTTCATCAACTCTAGTGACTAGTTGGTTGACACTTGACATATTAGTGTTAGGTTCACTGAACACTAATATAGCAAATAATTGTAAAGAATAGAAGAAATCAGAAATAGAGTAATGTAAATATATATGAAATGTATGATATATGACAGAAGGTATAAAAGTAGCACTCTCTCTCAGTATCAAAGAACCAAGAGCCTCCCTCTCTAGGCACAAACAGTCTCCCTACTCATTTTCTTCCATCACTAACTTCTCTTTCTTCCTTTCCTATATAACTGACTCTCCCTTTCACATGTGCTCCCTTTCCCTTCCTAGTGTACACGCCAAATTTTGGGCCTTTCTGCTTGACTCACTAACGGCCCATATCAGTCACCCTAACAAGTTGGTTGACATTTTCACTAAGTTCCTTAAAGGCTCTCGTGTTGACTACATTTGTAACAAACTTGCCTCATATGACATATTTGAGGGGTAGTGTTAGATAACAATCATCACAAAATAAGGGATATGATTCGATATCTATTATATGTAACTGTAACTTACAGGTTTATTTTGATTTGTTTATAATTATGATTGATTCTGTTTTACCCTAATATGTGATTGCAAATACATTTTGTATTATGACACAACATTCAGTAATATCCTTTCTTATAGTTACCTAGAAGATAGTTGTCACAACTCACAATCTGCACTTTGCTTTTCCTTTGTTCCTTCTCTGCCATTGGCCAATCATCTTTTTTTTTTTTTTTTTTTTTCTATCTTTCCTTCTGCTTTCTGGTTCCAATGGGTATATTTGAGCCATCCTCAGGTTGAAACTGCTGAAGCACTCTCCTTCAGAATAACTACCCTCCTGCCACTGTTACCAATGGTAGGCACATCTTCCGGTGTTACCACAACTAGCTGCAACTTGCTTCATTTGCTTTGCATCAAAGTGGTGCTCAAGGCGAATCAGATACCCATACATGTTACCTCCTAATATTGAAATACCTATATGTTTCCTCCTTAAATTGTTTCCTTAAGCTTGCAATTCACAAACTTCCTCTGAAATTCTCAAAAGACTTGCTTTTAAATTCTTGATTAGATCACGAACAGCTCCTAGGATTTTGGAGCTCTGGTATCAAATGTTATACAGGCTTAGAGATTAGGTAAAGAATGAATAGAAGTGTTATATGTAACACTTTAATTTTAATTTTTAATTTAATAAGAATTTCACAAATTCGAATAACTAATTTTTATAAAAATACTTTGAAATAAGGGAATGGTTATAAATTAATATCAAATGACTGTTACAAGACTAGTTCAGTTACAACAATTTCAAAATAAAAGCTAAGTTCTATAGCAGTCCATCCATCTATCCCTTCACTGAGTCCGGTGCTGATCGTCTTGATTACCTGAAAAACGAATATAAGGGTGAATACGCTACACTACCCAAAAACACACAATCAACGTAGAGTCTTACCTCCAGCACATTTCCAACACATTGAACAAACACAATTACAAGCAGTATTTCACATTCATAAGTACAAAACACAAATCCACGCATACGCACGCCAGTCACCTCATTATAGTACTGTGATAACAGATTCTCACCATGATAGTCGCCAGTTACTCTCGTCTCACGGATACCATGTGGGTAGACACGGGTCGCTCAGCAAAAATAATGGTTAGAGGTCTAGTCAGGAAGAAAGTGTGTGGCCCGTGGTGCACCCGTTCTGCAGTCGGTGTTACCACCACTCTCTTCTCCCCAAAGTATTCTTACTATCCTCATCTTCCACACCCCCAGTGTATCGCTGAATCATTCACAACACATTACAACGGTATTAATACGCCCATTTACACATATATTCCATTCATGTATGCAATAATCATGCTTACACACAGCACACAGCTCACATTGCATTTCACATTACACGGCACATAGCCAATATTCATCTATATTACACCACATTTACATACAATCCACATCCATCAAGTTCGGGTTAACATACATAATGTTCACATATCACGGTACATGGCCTATATTACATTTCTCAGCAATTTTCTATCCATTAACTCAGCCACAACATAATATCAAACAAAATAACAATTCATGCACAAAAGAGTAGGATAACGTCTCCCCTTACCTCAAATTGAAGACCCACACTCGGATTTGACCACGGACGTGCTCCCTACACAGATTTCGGCCTAAAACACATGGAAGAACTCAAAGAAATCGAGAAAAAGAGAAATGGGGATGAGAAACAGAATCCTAACCATTAAAACTCAACTCCAAGCGTTCTCCACACGGATTCAACCTTCAATCAAGCTCCATAACGGCTTTGGAGGCAATTAATTGGTGGAATAGGGCTTTGGGAACGAAAGAATCAAAGGAATTTCGAAGGAAGAGGGAGAAATAACTCTCCCTGAACCCTAACCTCCTTTAAATTCCTTTTTGGTCGCGACACTCTTGCTACAGTGACACGCCCTCTCGCTACAGCAAAAAAATTAAAGAAAACTGCACTTTGGTTTCTGCAGAATCTCGCTACAGCGAGACCACCTAGAAATGCACTCCAAACTGTCGCTCTGTCGCTACAGCAAGACGTTTCTCGTTACAACGAGAAGGCAACAATTCTGGTCCTTCCTCTTAGGGCCTCTCGCTACAGCGAGAATCCTCTCGCTGCAGCGAGAACAGTCCAGTGTTACGCCCTGCACTTAGGCACTTAGCCCATTTTCAGCCTATCCAGTCATACATACACATATATACACACATCCATATACTTAATACACATAAAACATTATTTTTAAATAAATCAACACACATATGAATATATATACATATATAAGAATAATAATAATTAATATTACTAAAATTTGGAGCGTTACATTATCAAGAATTCAAAAGTATGAGATTTCTTCCCCAAAACCAATCTTTCAGACTTTTACTAAGCAGAATACCCTTAAACTCTTTATGGCCTGTCTCTGCCAAATTCAGTTAGAATTCTAACCAACCATCACCAACTCCTTCAACTAAAGGAAACCAGCCCATTGGGCTTAACTAACATTATCTTCGTAAACCTGTATAAATGAAAAATTAGTGTGGCCGATATTTTTAGGCTGATTCATGTTTTAGGCATCAAGGGAAAGTGTACGCCACCAGATATCTGAAGGTCTTCAACTAGTTTCTGCATCCAGAGGGACCTGTCAGCAGGCATGTGCTCTAATAATTGATGGAAAATCACTTGCTTATGCTTTAGAGGATAATATGAAGAACATGTTTCTAGAGCTTGCAAATCATTGTGCATCTGTTATCTGCTGTCGCTCATCACCAAAGCAGAAGGCACTGGTATGTTTGAGCCTATCTTGCATCCCTCTATTTGACATCATGTTTGCTTAATTCTGATAATGACTTTGCTTAGCTTGTAAAATTATTTTATTTTTGTTGGTTCCCCTTAAAGGTTACTAGACTGGTTAAATATGGAACTGGTAAAACAACATTAGCTATTGGTGATGGAGCTAATGATGTTGGAATGCTTCAAGAAGCAGATGTAGGGGTTGGAATCAGTGGCGTTGAAGGAATGCAGGTGTTGAAAAAATTGACAAACTATTCATAATTTTTTCCTTAAGTTGATTTTTGCTTCCATATCCTGTCTTGCCTTATTACATGTTTTGGTTTCATATCCTCTTTCTCCTCTAGGCTGTTATGTCTAGTGATATTGCAATTGCACAGTTCCGGTACTTGGAAAGATTACTTCTTGTACATGGACATTGGTGTTACCAGAGAATGTCATCGATGGTATTGCCACTCAAACTCAACATTCTATAGATTTAGGCCCTTAAGGATGATCTGATGTGAAAGTTTTGGTAGTTATATTAACTTGTTCCTTCTTCCAACAGATATGCTATTTTTTCTACAAGAATATCACGTTTGGCTTCACTCTATTCTTGTATGAGGTGTATGCATCATTCTCTGGACAGCCTGCATACAATGACTGGCTTTTGTCTCTCTATAGTGTCTTCTTTTCATCACTTCCAGTGATTGCCCTTGGGGTGTTTGACCAGGATGTATCTGCCAGATACTGCCTGAAGGTAAGCTTATTGTTCACCAACTAAAAATATGATTGTTTCAGTTTCTCATGGCCTTCAAATGGCAAATTACCATTTGTAAGTACCTTCTTATCTTTGCTTAAATTGTGATTGGAAACTGTTATGGCAAAAAAAGTTCAATCTGAATGGGTTCTAGTATGTTGTCATGTTTGTAATAATTTAGAAATGGAAATTTTCACTTTGTCTTTTTATAAATAGTTTGCTGATGCATGTAACGAAAGAGAGAACTCAGAAAAAAAAGATAGCAAAAATCTGGAATTTATTTTATTGCATCATACCTATCTTAACCCTTAGTTCTAATTGCTTTTTCCCCTTAATGGTGGCTTTTTTTCCTAACATTGTCATTACCTAGAAAGCCCGTTTTAAAGGTTCTTGTAATACTGTTTAAATACAGCAGTCACTTGTATATTGCATAATAGATAAATCCCCCTTGGTTGTACTGTATCGGAACTAAAATCCAATAAGCATCAACTTGTTTTTCTGATGAGTGATGATCATTATTATTATTTCTGTTTAATGTGGCAGTTTCCTATCTTATACCAAGAGGGTGTGCAAAACATCCTCTTTAGCTGGCGTCGAATACTCAGCTGGATGTTTAATGGATTTATTAGTGCCACAATGATATTCTTCTTCTGCACAAAAGCATTGGAGCCTCAAGCCTTTGATAAGGAGGGAAGAACTGCTGGAAGGGATATGCTGGGAGCAACGATGTATACTTGCGTGGTTTGGGTTGTGAACTTGCAGATGGCACTTGCTATACGTTACTTCACCTTGATACAACATATTTTCATATGGGGTTCCATTGCTTACTGGTATCTTATCCTCCTGGCATATGGAGCAATGCCTCCATTCATTTCTACAAATGCTTACAAAGTCTTCATTGAAACTCTCGCCCCGGCTCCTTCCTTTTGGATTGTGACATTCTTTGTGGCGATCTCAACACTAATACCATACTTCTCATTCTCAGCAATTCAGATGTGGTTCTTCCCCATGTATCACCAAATGGTACAATGGATAAGGCATGAGAGGAGGACAAATGATTCTTCATAGAATAATGTAACACGGTGAGGCAAAAATCATTGTGGCCAACAACTGAGTGTTCAACAGTACACTTTGCAGCTGAGAGAGGCTAACCACAGTAGAGAGAGAATTACTAACCATAGATAATATACGTATATTGACATGCAAAGGGTGTATTGTAGAGCTGAAACTGTTTGAATGAAAACAATGAAGTATATGGCCCGGATAGAAATTGGAACCGTTGAGAATGAGAGTTGATCCAATTCAGTGCAACGTAGTGAGTTTTTGGTTGAGAAATGTGATCTGTGCTATAGTATCCGGACCATGTTTGGATTGGTTTATTTTAGGATAATGTATTTCTTTTTCCAACAATTATAATAAAGTTTTGAAAGAGGAGAAAAAAACAATTATTTTTCATATAAAACTTTTCCAAGCATGGTCATGTGCTATAGCTCATTTGAATTTTGATTACAACTAATTAAACTATTATTGGGAATGTCCTGATTTCTATAAAGTTAGTGAGAGAGCGAGTCAGTTGTCTCAATGTTCGATGAGGAAAGGCAAAAAATGGAGTGAAGGGGGATTCAATCATACAACCAGAAACCAAATAACTTTAATTTTTTGTTATTTTCAATATTTTCATCTCCAGTTTGCGTTGGCCAAGATGCAATTTATAGTTTGGTTATTAGCTCTTATTTGTACGTTCTTAGTTCCTCGTTAGGCCGAAACCTTGGGTAGCTGATGTACTATTTTTCAAATCGGATCTATAAACCATATTATTCTAGTAAAATACAACTATTGCGTGTGTTCAATCCTCGAGCCCAATACGGGTAGAGGTAGCCATATTCCAATATTGGGACATACACAAACCCTCAAATGATGCTACAGTAGTACTGCGGATAGCATACTATAGAAAATTTACTAACAAGAACCAAATCTATCACCTAGGGCTATTTCCTAACAGCAACCACTTCCTCTTCGTTAATAATGTCCTTAATTGTACTTGGGTTATTTTATTTTCTTTTTGTAATCTAAAACAAAGTAGGGAAATAATAACTTCCGGATCTTATCATTCTTCGCACAAGTGATTGACTCACATTTTCATTCTCATGGGTTGCATTGTTGTAGAAGAGAGCTGGTCACAAGCCATCGAGTCCAAAGGTCATAGCGTGACAATTGACGTAGGTAAAGGGGAAGAAAGGTCTGAGTGAGACACGTGAACGAATCTACTCGGGGGACATGAAAGGAGGAGACTAACTTTTCATGCTTCTTTGTTGTTGTCAACTTCTCTACTTAGATCAATGTACAAAAATACAGTTTTTTTTGTCTGCATCCTGTAGTGCACATTTATCAAGCATTCACGTGTCACTTTCATGTTGGGGACACACATTCAAAGGTTAACACAGTTGTTTTTATCATTCTAGTGATAATAAAATGGGCTTAATGAAATTTTAATACTTTTTTAATAATTAATTACCATAATAAAATAAAAAATAGATATTCTTTGTATGGGATAAATTTTTGTCAAAATTTTTACAGAAAAATTATTAAAAAATAAAATACAGAAATAAAGCAATTTATTTATCCAAATAGACTCAACATTGTAGCAAAATTTTGCCACCTAAAATTCAATTTTCAGGAACCGAATTCTGACTTGACTTTTTTTTTTTTTTTTTTTAATTTTTTAATGTTTTTATATAATGAAATAAATATTATTATTTAAATTATATTTATATATTTATATTTTGTTAAAATAAAAATTTATAATAAGTTATTCTAATAAATATTTATAAATATTTTGTTAATTATATATAATAAAATAAGTTTTATTATTTAAATTATTTTTATATTTTATATTATTTGAAAATAAATAAAAATAAAAATAATATTTATTTTACATGTTTAAGATAATAAATAATATTTTTAAAAACTAATTAAAATAATTAAATAATAAGTAAATTATTTTAGATAATTTTTAAAAACTAATTAAAATATTTAAATAATAAGTATATTATTTTAGATAATAATGTTAATGCTTAAATTATTTATACTTAAAGAATAATAATTATATTTTTAAAAATTAAATAAATATATTAAATATTATTCAGTTTATTTATTTATTTAAATATGTAATTTTGACTTAATATTTTTAAAAACTAGTATGATTAAATGATATTTTGAATAAAAATTTTATTTTAATTAAATTATTTTTTTAAAATTAAATTATTTAATATTATAATTTTTAATAACTCTAAAACTTTACTATTATAATTTTTAATAAATTTTATTTTAGAATTAAAAATTCATTTTTAAAAGTAAATAAAATATTAAATTATAAGTTAATTATTTATACTTGAGACAAATATTTTAAAATTAACATTTTTATATTACTAAGATAATATTGATGAAGACAAAATGCATTAATAAAGATGATAACAAATTCATAACAACATTAATAATTAACTATCTCTGTAACAGTGGCTAGTTCCACAACGAGGACGACATATTTGACGTGGTGAGGTTTGTCGTTGTGGTTGTTGTTATGGGATTTCAAGATGAACTTGTGGAGGATTTGGCTCATCATGAAGGTCTAGTTGTTGGAATACATTTGATGAATTAGCAGGTTCATTAGCAAAATCCGGTCAGTAAAGAGACTGCATGTAAGTTTGTGCTGAAGATAGAGTTGTAAAATCAACTCCAAATAAGTTTGTAAAAAAATCCTCCGATTTTGTTGCAAACGAATGTCTTGTGTTAATTATGTTTGCTTCTGGTATAATGTTCGGAGGAATTGATGTAGTCTTGTGGTACGACGGTGTGGAAGTCGTACCAATTTCAAATGTATTGGTAGTTCTTAGTTGTTGGTCGCTCCTCCTTGGATCTTGTATAGTGGTGGTACAAATATGAAATAGATGGAATTGACAATGTACCATTCCATGTATTCTTGTGTGTGGCACAATGGGCCTTACATTGGATGACCCGTTATTGTCAGCTCACGTCTGTTGTTCCATATCTCGATCCATTGAGCATGTCTTGTAACCCAATTTTCATCCTGTCTTCCTCTCATGTTAATTTTGTGGAGGTCATTCAAATTATTTGGTAGAGAAGGGACTTCTTGGAAGAGATGAAACTGTAATTTGACTCTATCTATTTGGTGCTATTCAACAATTGCAAAACAAAGGATGGCGGTACATGAAGTCCACAGTTGCACATCTCTATATGCTTCCATGGGTATTGATATTTGCAAGTCTTGATATGGCGCCCATAAAAGCTACAAATAAATTTAACTTTGTTACTTAAGATGATGTGTAAAAGATAAGAAAATAAATATAAAGAGTTACCTGATTAGCTTGAATGTGATCAAACATTGATCTGTATCCCACAACATCATTGTGAGGTTTATTTCAAAAGTTTAGTACTCTACCCCTGCTCCATTTGCACACGAGAGGGTATGTTGGTGGATTACTAGAAATTGGCGCAATATATGGCATGCGATACCATGCTCAGGACATTAACAGTGATGAGCAACCACCTATTGTTTTGCTACCAACTTCCGTGACTCCACACATTTCTCTATACAACATAGTTAAACAAGCAGAACACCAACTATATCGTCTTAAATATATAAGATTTACTTTGTTGCTTGTTTTGTCAGGCATCAAAATACCTCCAATTAAACCTAGTATATAAGCCCTACAATGGGCATGAACTTCTTCTTCAGATGGTTCTTCTGGTAATGGCAACATGTTGCCTCTCAGCCACTTTAGTTTCAATATAGAGCTAATAAGTGACTCTCTCTTGACTGGCACGATACCGAGATAAGTGTCACACATTTCCTCCCAGTCAAACATTATTGGAGCAATGACTGGTAAACCATCAACTCTTAGCCCGAGTTGAAGTGCAACATCCTCTAGGGTTATGGTGCACTCCCCTGTTGGAAAATGGAATGTGTAAGTTTTAGGTCTTCACCTCTCGACCAAAGCTGTTATCAATGGGAGGAGAGAAAATTTGTTTGGAAATATATGGGATGACTTGAATGATAAAAGAATCCAATGCTAGGTGTGACTGAAATGTCACTATCTCTTGGTCTACATGAATGTCAGAAGACATTTTTGATTAGGAGGAGAGAAAGCTTGTTTGGAAGTATATGGGATGGCTTGAATGAGAAGAAAATCCAATGTTAGGCGTGACTGAGAAGTCACTATCTTTTGGTCTACGTGAATGGAGAGGTCACCATCACTTGTAAAACATGGTGAAGCATTGAATGACTGAGAATCCAATGTTACCATTACAAATAGCCATATTCGTGTTCATTTTTTTCATTCAACCTTCTAAACTTGTTCCTTATTCTTGTGAACCTTCTCCTTCTAAACTTATTCATCATTCACTTTCTTTAATCTAAAAATGTCTTCAATCTATGTCATTGTTCACTCTAATAGTGCTGTTAACCAATGTCCTAATGAAGGAGTCACGTTTATCTCATCATAAGCCAAATTGGTACATCTAAAGAGAGAAGTGACTCTACAAAAGCTCAAGAAAGTCATCAATACAAAACTCAACCGAGACGAAAATGAAAGGATGACAACCATACATTTTCGCTACCAATTAGACTTGGCCTGGGAGTTAGCAACTAGACGTGTTGAGTTGAACGATGATGAAGACATCGAGACACTCTTCAACATCCATGATTCAAATCAACTTCAATCAGGTATAGAATTATGTTACATTTGCTACAAACGTAACCCAGCCACTACAACTTTCACCTTCACCTTCACCTTACCAAACTTACGAAACCATAAATTCATTTTTTCCCACATATGATATGAATTCTGACCTTCAGTCCTACACACAACTTTTAACTGGTCTATTCATGGACCTCAATGAAATATCCTCCCAACCATTTGAGCAAACCCTACCCTCTCAACCTCTTGAAGAAACCCCCATTGAAGAACATGTTGTTGTGGGTCTTCCAATCGAAGTATTTGATCCTTTTAGCGAGGACAAAGATGAAATCCTATCTCAACAGCAGAATGATGTAGAAGACTCCCTCCCACTTCCAAATATTCCACCATCACAACAATTACCATGATACAACCCACCTTCATATTTTTTAGACTTTCCCACCTTCATATTTTTTACACTTTACACAATTTTCCTTTGCAAAATCGAGACATTTTTCCAGAACATTGGAGTCTTGGGTGACAACCAAGGGTCTTCTATAGGTTTTAATTTCCAATTTTCCTTTTGATTTTGGTTGAAT